AGGAAGAAGAATGAGAGGAGGAGGAGGAGGAAGAGAAAGGGTCTATCTAGTATTTTTAAGGAGTACCTGCCACTATTTTTGTTCACTACCTCTTATCATCTTCCATTGTTTTTGAGTTATTTTCTTTTTATCTTCTATCATCACTTGTCTCACTTTTCTTCCCCCTTTTGTCTCTCGTTTGTCTCACCCTCTATCTCTCAATATTTTCCACCTGCGACGATACACTACAATATTTATCTCTCACCTGTAATCCCATAACTCTCTCTCTCTCTCTCTCTCTCTCTCTCTCTCTCTCTCTCTCTCTCTCTCTCTCTCTCTCTCTCTCTCTCTCTCTCTCTCTCTCTCTCACAGTTCTAGGAAGCCTTTTCACCCTTACAGTTGTTACCCGGTATCTTCCATCACTCTGACACTCCCGTTCAGCCACACGCCACAAACACCAATGTAAACGTGGCAGCTTCGTGACGTGACCTTAAAAAAAAATAAAAAATCCTTGACCTGACCTAAAAAAGTTGGTACCCATGACCTGATCTGACCTAACGAAACCTAACCCTACCTTGCCTACCCGATCTAACCTAACGCACCCTAACCTAACCCAACCCAACACACCCTAACCTAACCCAACACACCCTAACCTAACCCAACTTAACCTCACCTAAACAATAGCTGATAGTATCCTAACCTTACGTTTACGTCGAATCAAAGGCGAATGTTTGAGGGTGAAAGCTCCTAATTGGTCCCGTCTCTCTCTGTGTTCCAGTGTCTATACATAGTAACAATTAGGAAGTTATCTCGGCATAGCGGTAAACAAGTACTGTACTCAGCTCCGTGTTGAATGACGATACAACAATTTTTTTTTCTGGTCGGCTAGAATCTGATTGGGTAAGTTTATTTAGTACAGTATTGTATAAGTTTGGGTATATGTGGATACAGTGAACTCTCTCTCTCTCTCTCTCTCTCTCTCTGTCACATGCTGAGTGCCACAGTGTTACGTGTTAAGAGAGCTAGGGTGCCATGTGCTGAGAGAGAGAGAGAGAGAGAGAGAGAGAGAGATTCAGTCAGGGGAGTCCTCGTCTCACAAGATCTGCCTGAAGGTGACTTGCCCATCCATGACTCATAATCCATTTTGTGTTTTTCCTCCTTGGCGACAGATTTACACAGGGAGGGTCGACCTTCCTGTCAAATAAATAAAGCCTTTTCCAGACTCTGTATAGCGCAGGGGAGAGAAGCTTTGTGTTGGCTAAATGATCACGACTCTCACCCTACCGTTATCTGTCTATTGCTTTATGATGAACCTGTAGTGTGTAGCTTCTGGTCCGGTATGTAATGTAGAGAGAGTAACCTGTAGTGTAGCCTGTAATGTGTAGTCTGTAGCATTTAGTGTGTAGCCTGTAGCGTGTAGCCTGTAGTGTGTAATGTGTAGCCTGTAGTGTGTAACCTGTAGCCTGTCGTGTGTAGCCTGTAGTCTGTAATGGGTAGCCTGTAGTGTGTAATGTGTAGCCTGTAGTGTGTAACCTGTAGCCTGTCGTGTGTAGCCTGTAGTCTGTAATGGGTAGCCTGTAGTCTGTAATGGGTAGCGTGTAGTGTACAATGTGTAACCTGTAGTGTATAATGTGTAGCCTGTAATGTGTAGCCTGTAATGTGTAGCCTGTAATGTGTAGTCTGTAATGTGTAGCTTGTAGTATATATTGGCCTCACTAGTATATACAAAATACATAAAGCGTTCATTTCTTTCTTTACGATATGAATTTTAATCAAGCAGTCACAGGGTAGGACTTTCACTCAAGCAGTCACAGGGGTAGGATTTTCTGTTACTCAAGCAGTCAGATGGTAAGGCTTTCTCTCATTCAAGCAGTCACAGGGTAGGACTTTCACTCAAGCAGTCACAGGGGTAGGATTTTCTGTTACTCAAGCAGGTAGACATTTTTTTTGAGGGAGGGTCGAAAAAAATATAATCTACAATTATATTTTCTAGTACAAAAAAACTTATTCCGTCACGATTACATTAAAAATAAAAAATAAAATATATAAAAATAAAATGAGAAACCCACATTCCTTTCCTTGTGTTTCCCCTTCTGTGTAGCTCCCAACATCACTACTAATTAAAACCTCTTAAAGGACCTCGGAACCAAAATATTTTCCCCCGACCAGCACTCGTCATTACCAACAAGAGTATTAGTGAATCACCTTCTCCACAGGTTTGTAATTAGCTTTCGGCCGAGCTATTTTCTTGGACCATGTGAAGATTAGACACCCCCCAACATGTGAAGATTAGACACCCCCCAACATGTGAAGATTAGACACCCCCACCATGTGAAGATTAGACACCCCCACCATGTGAAGATTAGACACCCCCACCATGTGAAGATTAGACACCCCCACCATGTGAAGATTAGACACCCCTCCTCAGTTTAATTTATCTGGTTATTAAACACCCTAAACCTGCCTGTCGGGTCGGGTTCAATTGAAGCTAAAACGGACTTCTGAGGAAACAGTTGATTTT